TCTCTGTGTTTTTTTTTTTTTTTTTTTTTTTTTTTTTTTTTTGAGAGGTTTATTTTTGCTATAGGGCGCGTGCGCTCGCCAGACAGACAGAGAAAGACAGAGAGACAGAAAGCGAGAAATCACCCCCCGGGAGGATGGTCACGCCGCAATCCCTTCTCCTCCATTCTCCTCTCGGGATCTTGGGCATGCACGCACACACGCCTGGCGTGAGTTTTAAGCCACCGGGTCCGGGACGTGAACCGCGGTCAATTATGTGGGAGTCCAGCGACATAGCCATTACGCTAACTGCTGGTTCCCGGCACTCCGTGTTCTTTAAAGTGTTTGATGAATGAATGAGTGAGTGAGTGTATCCGTGAGCAAATAAACCAACAGTGAGGTGTTTCCACTCTGGTCTTACTGCGTTCTCCCTGGCTCTTCCAGGTGTGTAGACGGCATCATAAACTAGAAGGCGCATCAGTGCTCACCCAGGCCCATAATTTGCAAGTGCTTTGTAGCAGTGGCCTGGTTTGCTCTGATAAAATCGTACCTGGAGCCCACCGTCTGAAACTACAAAGTGGATCTTCTGTGCGTGAGGCGGCAGGGCTCAGAGGCCCACAGTGCTCCCACAGCTGGTGTCCAAGGCGCCTCCCATAACGCTCTGCAGAATCCCAGCTGAAAATAACGGAGGGCCCAGCCCGCTCATTCAATTTTATAGATTCACGGGCTGAGACTCAGATAGGGATGTGACTGTCTCCAAGGTCGCACAGCTGGCCAGGAGCAGAATCAAGACTCCTGTTGCCTCCTACACCTGGCTGCTCAGACCGGAGCCCGGTTTGGTCTGCAGACTGCCTGGGGTCTCCGGAGCTAACTCCACCAGTGTGTGCGCACGCTGGTAGTTGGGTACAAAGAGGTGGTAGGGATTTGCCTGTGTCTTGGGGGGATTCTCTGGGCTTAGAAAGGGAAGGAGTAGGGGAACCAGCAGTTAGTGTAATGGCTATGTCGCTGGACTCCCACGTAGTCGACCGTGGTTGGAGTCCTGGACCTGGCTGCTTAAACTCTTGCCGGGCGCGTGAGCGTGCGTGCCCAGGATCCCGAGAGGAGAATGGAGGAGAAGGGGTTGTGGCGTGGCCATCCCTCCCGGGGGGTGTTTTCTCGCTTTCTGTCTCTCTCTCTCTGTCTGTCTGGCGAGCGCACACGCCCTATAGAAAAACCTAG